GTTGTAATATCTGCACACTCTAATTACTTTACAAATTAAAATGTGTTTTGCTTTTGTTTTTATTTTATATTTTATAATTATTTAATTTATTCTTTTTAAGTAGTTATCTGTGACTTATGCTTATAGTTTAAAACTCTTACTATACTGTATTTCTTATGTGATGGCCATTGTGTGATCACTGGATGGCTATTTTTTGAACAACGCAAGTCTATTTGATTCTATGAGAAGTCACATTATTAAATTTAGCTGTGTCACTGATTAACTGAACTATTTGTTTAGGAATTGCTCGAATCCAAAAATCAAAGAAGCAGCAGTATTTCATGACCAAGGTCCCCAATTTTTTGATTATAGCATACGTCTCAATCACACATGGGCTTTCTCAGGATTTCCTGATGTTAAATCCATCATGGACGCAAATGGTCCCTAACTTAATGACTTGGAACTGGGCGTAAATACAATACCAACAATGCAATACAGCTTCAGCAGTTTCTTAACTGTATGGTTGCTTCGTACCTTCGCCATTTATTAATTTTTGATATCTTACTTTTATTTGTTACTTTAGTTGATGTACGGAGCTTTGTCATAATTATATTTATATTCTCTAAAAAGCTTTTTGTTCTCCCGTTGTGTTCCCAAAATTTGTCTATACAAAAAGTTGGGTTTGGATTATTAGTTCTTTTATTCAGGGTCTAGTTAAAAGTAATTTAATAATTATTTTTTAATATTCGTTTAAGTAGATCATTGGTGATGGTTTTCTGAATCTGAATGTTAAGGTGAAAATCCAACTGATTAGTGGCACAGAAATAGACAGTCATTTTTCCTGGCTTCTTCCTTAACTCATTCATCTATATGCTGGTGGCTAAAAAAATATCCCTTACAGAATATTGATTTTTTAAATTTTGGTATGTAAATCCCACAATAGAAATAATATCACATGCTGTCTCTAGTAACACATAAATTGTTAGTACGTGGTATATTTTTTAGAGTCTTTCTATATGTTGTTCCAAAAGAATCATAATTTTGAGCCAAGTGTAGTTTGTGTCATACTCAAACTTTGGTGCCAAGTATGATATTTTTTTTCCCAAACATAGGGCTTACTCATGTTGGTCGGATAGGGTTTATTTATACCAATACTGGCGTCTGATATTGTTGTTGCTTGTCCATTCTCAGACACTCTCTCAGTGTTTCATTGTGTGACTCATATATTTGTTGTAATGGTGAATTATTCAAATGTTAATATGATATCCACTCACAGACCAATCTTCAATGATTCTGAAACTTGATGTATTGACCTTTAATAAGTTTAATGATTGTTATTAAACAATAATGCAACTTCTAACTTTCATCCTTGTTAAATATTGTCACAATTTTTTTTTTGTTTCACAAAATATTTTCTGATTCTGCCTTGATAAGCCCCTTATCTTCAATAAAATTGTGGGTGAAACTGCATGTATATTTGTGAAAATGTGAGTCCATTCTTCTTATGCCTTTATGCTATTGCAGTTCCAGCAAGTTCTGGATTCCTTTATAATTTTTGCGGCCCAACAATCTGACACCAAAAATATAGAACTTCCTTCATCTTTGCCCTCTGGCGAACCTTCCTCTCTTAAAGTGCCATGGATGAGTTATGGTCCGTCAAACATTCGAATAGTCCCATTTCCAACTCGTGAATACACTGATGATGAGTTCCAGTCCATCATAAAAAGTATCATGGGTGTATTGTATGTATCTCTTGAATTTTTTATTTCTGTTTTTTTCTTTTGCTTTTCGATTTCTGTATTGTTCATGTTGTAATCTTCAGATCACAATCAATATTTCTTAGCATTAATATATTGACATTTTCTGTTTGGTTGTTCTGGAACGTGGATGAGCAGGTATCTTTTGGGATTTCTCTACCCAATTTCTCGGTTGATCAGCTATTCTGTGTTTGAGAAGGTTTGCTATCTCTCATGGTTTATTGCATATAATTTGCAGGTTGGTTCTTTGTTCTTTTGTATTTTTGTTTAATTTATGAAGAAGTCTCAGCAAGAATTCAATCAATTTAACCCCATTTTTTATAATTTTGTTATATTATAAATTTATTATTTAAATAATTATTGCCACCATTGCATGCTCTTGTTTTTGTTGGAGGATTTTTGAAATATACTTCAGACTTTCAGTTCTTTGGCTTTGTAGGATAACTATTGTTGCTTGGCTCTAGTATGTGCACTGTTGAACAATGATTGAGTCTCAGCATTGATCAACTTGCAAGAAAGGAAGTGTCTCCTCTGATTGATAAAGCAACGTAGTGTTAATGTACCGTAGGTATTGTGTGTTTGGTTAGATCATGAATATAATTAGGTACACTAGCAAGAAGAGGGAGAGGCTATGTATAATTCGTTTTTCTGAAATTTGAGTCCATTTGGTTTGAAGGAGATGGTCTATTGATAGGTTATGTTGCGTTGGTGGTAATCTAGATCAAGTTCTATTTGAATAAGAGTAGAAAATATAACGTTGGACTTTTCAGTGCTTGTCATCCCTAACAATTTTCTGTGGGGGTTTTTTATTTTTATTTTTCGTAGTTTGATTTCTTCTGCATTTTGCAGTTTCTTCTGCGATTATTACGGTTTGTACCATGGATAATCATTTCAAGTACAGTGATAAGACAGTGGTGTTCATTCACTTCTTCTTTTTTCTAAGTGCAATTATGCTGTCATTTTTAATCACTACATTCTTCACACGAGCGAAGACAGCTGTTGCTGTTGGGACCCTTTGATTTTCTTAAATGGTGTCCATTTGCATAGGGAGGCTTCATCTTTAGAGTATGATTTTGGGGCTAATATAATTCATTAGTGCACTATTCTGCCCCTTCCTTTTAACTGTATGTATTAGTTGCAAAGTTCTGAGGTTTTTATTTCCACTTCATCACATTTAAGCATGGCTTTGTTAGTTGCTTGTATAAATTAGAAACTGAAATAACGGGTTTCACAATGTGTCCTTTCATTTCTTTCACAAGGTCTTTCATGGCTCAAGCTAAATAAATTCCATTTCATACTTACAGATTGTTTCTATAGTTTACAAAGATGAATAGGAGCTGGAAACCTATATAGGCTCAGATCTCTATGGTACCTACAATCAAATAACGTAAGTCTTACTTTTGTATCACAGTATGGACAGAGGGAAATTTCCTTGAAATGAATTTCGATTATAGTTGGGACTGGAGAAGGATGAAAGACTAGTGGAGAAATGCAAATTACCAAAATTGTTTCTTTTGATGGTTTTCTTGTGTTGGTCAAACATTTCCTGTTCAATATCTTGCAGATTATGATCTCTTGGACTACATGACTAGCTATTTATGTATGCTTGATTCATGTGAATAAGCATTGATTTTGTGCATTATAGTTTTCATCTTTTAAATGTGGGTTTGGCTTCCCGAAATTATCTGTATGATCCTAACATCTTCATGAATTGAATGTGGATAACTGATTATTGAACCAATTTAAGGAATCGAAAACTTGTCTTAATGTTGCTTATATGGCTGATTATCTACAGTTGACGGAGAATTTCGAGGTTTTTGGACTGAGAATTTCGGGCTTTTTGCCATGATTCCTCTTGGAAAAGGTGCGCCTCTCCTCCCTGTACATTTCCCTTAAGTTAGTTGATGTCGTTAGTGGCTGTCGTTGGTGCTACGAGCTTGAGAAGCTCCTATCACTTTTTGGTCAGGGTCTAAGAGTAAAAGTTGTTCTCCTTGAAGAGCTTATGCTAGTGGTATATTGCTTGTGCCAATCTGGCCACTCCTCAAGCCACCAATCGCAACCGAAGGTGAGTGAACTGCTTAGTGGTGCTCCACTTTGCTTTGTAATTGTCCCTACATCGTCTGAAGCACGACGATAAGCTTGGATTGGTGAGAATTCGTCGTTTGATAAGGCGAACGAAGTTTTGCCAATTAGGCATTGATTGATCTGGACGGATCCGACCGTCGGATCGGTCCTTGTTTATGATATTTGGTTCCTTGTATCGTTTGGAGTGTGTAGGAACTTATAAATCTAGAATTGGAGTTTCGAATCTTCCGGATCGACGATTCTAGGGTTAGGGTTGTTGATCGTGCGATCGGACGATGATTGGCCATCAGTTCGTAGCCAAACTCTTTGGACTTATTTAGTGGACTGTTTGTTTTTATTTCTATATTTTGTATTCTTGTTTTAGTGACAATTGTTTTGAGACGCTTTAGGATTGTGATTTGAGTATGATGTTTTGATTTACGATTTGAAATGCCTCCAAAGTTTTATTTGATTATTATTCAATTCATGCCTTATTTAAGTAAGGTTTTGGGTGTTATGTAGATATGAATTTGGTTCTTAAGAATATTGCTGTTTTAGTTTGAGCTTGTGTTCTACCTATTCAGTTTTGCGATAGTTCTATTTAATTTATTTCGAGGTGAATGTTTTCTAGTGCTTAAGAATGTTTGAACTAGTTGTTAGCTTATCGATTGATCAGAGGATTGGTTTGGTTTTCTTGTGCTCAAGATATTTTTAAGAACTACGTGTGGTTTGATGGAGCTCAAATTCGAATATGTTGTAGTCAACATCCATTGGAATAGGTTTCATGAAGATCTTCCTCGCATCTGAGCACTGGAACATGCTGTTCCAAGGCCAAAAAGTTGACCTACAAAAATGAACAAAAACAGAATCTATATTCAATAATGCACTTTTTGCTCACATTTATTCTAACCAAGGTAAAATTTATAAAAACACAAGAAGGAAGAAAAAAAAAACTATAAATTGTCAAGAACCAACTCAAAAAATTAGGTGAATGACATGATAAATTATGTATAAAAATGAACCCAACAACATGCGTAAATGCTCTTAACCAATTGAGTTACAAGCCCTTGCCTGATAAATTAAGTGTTGAAAATTGTTTTAAAAAGAGCTCGTAGCTCAAGTAACTAAAAATATTTATATATGTACTCATTGTTATGCGCGCGTTTTAGGATGTGCTCTTATCAATTAGTCTTAAGATGATTGCCTGTAGTTGTGTTTAGTATCTAGGTCTCTGACAAGGTTTTCCACAACCACCTGCATGATTTGTCGACACAGGTGGTTGTTTAATTTCCCCCTTCCTTAGTTGCCTTAAAATGTTTGCATGTACTTTTGTTTAGTATACAAGTGTCCGGTTAGGATTTCTCTACCCACTTGCTCTATTTCTCTACACAAATGGTTAGCCAGTTTCCTCCTTCACCGGTTGCCTTTAGATGTTTGCATGTAACTGTGTTAAGTGTACAGGTGTCAGACCAGGATTTCCCCTGCCACCTCTTTGATTTGTGTGCACATGTGGTGAGTCAGTTTCCCCCTTTTCCAGTTTCCCTAAGATGTTTGTCTGTACTTGTGTTTAGTATGCAGGTGTCGGATAAGGTTTAACCCAGCCATCTGCCCAATTTGTCACACAGGTGGTTGGCCAGTTTGCCCCTTCCTTGGCTTTAGATGTTTGAATGTACCTGTGTTAGTATACAGGTGTTTAGTATACAAGTGTCCGATTAGGATTTCCCCATCCACTTGCTAGATTTGTTTACACTGATGGTTGGCCAGCTTCCCTTTTCTCGGTTTGGCTTCAGATGTTGGCATGTACTTGTGTTAGTATACAGTTGTTCTAACAGGATTATTTCAACCACCTACTCGTTTTGTTTACATAGGTGGTTTGTCAGTTTCACCCTTAACCAGTTGCCTTCATATATTTGCCTGTACTTACGTTTAGTATATAGGTATCTGGCCAGGATTTCCCCAGCAACTTGCCCGATTTTTCTACACAGGTGGTTGGCCAGTGTCCTTCCAAGCTGCCTTTGAATGTTTGCCTGTATATTTGTTTAGTATACAGATGTCTGGCAAGGATTTCCTAAGCTACTTGCCTGATTTATCTGCCAAGGTGCTTAGTAGATAGTTGTCCAACCAAGATTTCCTTAGTCACCTGCCCGACATATCTACACAGGTGGTTGGCCAGTTTCCCATTTCTCCAATTACCTTCCGATGTTTGCAGGTAGTTGTGTTTAATTTAGAGCTGTCTAACGAGGATTTGCCTACCCACCTGCCCGATTTGTCTACACAGGTGGTTGGCCAGATTTCGTTTTCCTAGCTGCCTTCAAATCTTTCCATGTCCTTGTGTTTTGTATACAGGTGTCCAGCAAGGATTTGTCGATCCACCTGCCCGATTTTTCTGCATAGGTGGTTTGCCAGTTTCCCTTTTCCTAGTTGCCTTTAGATGTTTGCATGTACATGTACTTAGGAGATAGTTCTCCGATCAAGATTTCCTCAGCCACCTGCTCGATTAGACTGCACAGGTGGTCTGCAAAGATTTGCTCATCCACTTGCCCGATTTGCCTGCACAGGTGGTTGACTAGTTTCCATGTTCCTAATTGCCTTCCAATCAATTCATGTACCTGTGTTTTGTATACAACCGTCCATCCAAGATTTGTCTATCCACCTGCCCGATTTGTCTGCACAGGTGGTTGGCCAGTTTCCCTGTTCCTGATTGCCTTCAAATCTTTGCGTGTACCTATGTTTTGTATACAAGTGTCCAGCCAAGATTTGTGTATCCACCTGCCCGATTTGTCTGCATAGGTGGTTGGCCAGTTTCCCTTTTTCGAGTTGCCTTTATATTTTTGCATGTACATGTGCTTAGTAGATAGTTCTCCGATCAAGATTTCCTCACCCACCTGCCCGACATGTCTACATAGGTGGTTGACTAGTTTCCCCTTCTCCAGTTACCTTTCAATTTTTGCAGGTAGTTGTGTTAAATGTAGAGTTGTCTGATTAAGATTTCCCAACCCACTTGCCCGATTTGTCTACACAAGTGGTTCGCCAGTTTCCCTGTTCCTAGGTTCCTTCAAATCTTTGCATGTACCTGTGTTTTGTGTACATGTGTCAAGTTAGGATTTGTCTATCCACCTGCCCGATTTGTCTGCATAGGTGGTTTGCCAGTTTCCCTTTTCCTAGTTGCCTTTAGATGTTTGCATGTACATGTACTTAGGAGATAGTTCTCTGACCAAGAATTCCTCAGCCACCTGCCCGATTTGACTGCACAGGTGGTCTGCCAAGATTTGCTCATCCACTTGCCCGATTTACTTGCACAGGTGGTTGACTAGTTTCCCTATTCCTAATTGCCTTCTAATCAATTCATGTACCTGTGTTTTGTATACAACCGTCCATCCAAGATTTGTCTATCCACCTGCCCGATTTGTCTGCACAGGTGGTTGGCCCGTTTCCCTGTTCCTGGTTGCCTTCAAATCTTTGCATGTACCCGTGTTTTGTATACAAGTGTCCAGCCAAGATTTGTGTATCCACCTGCCCGATTTGTCTGCATAGGTGGTTCACCAGTTTCCCTTTTTCGAGTTGCCTTTAGAATTTTGCATGTACATGTGTTTAGTAGATAGTTCTCCGACCAAGATTTCCTCAGCCACCTGCCCGAGATGTCTACACAGGTGGTTGGCCAGTTTCCACTTTCTCCCAATTTTTGCAGGTAGTTGTGTTCAATGTAGAGCTGTCTGACTAAGATTTCAAAAACCCACCTGCCCGATTTGTCTACACAGGTGGTTTGCCAGTTTCCTTGTTCCTAGTTTCCTTCAAATCTTTGCATATACTTGTGTTTTGTGTACATGTGTCCAGCTAGGATTTGTGTATCCACCTGCCCGATTTGTCTGCATAGGTGGTTTGCCAGTTTCCTTTTTCATAGTTGCGTTTAGTTGTTTGCATGTACATGTACTTTCGGGATAGTTCTCCGACCAAGATTTCCTCAGCCACCTGCCCGATTTGACGGAACCGGTGGTCGGCCAAGATTTGCTCATCCGCTTGCCCGATTTGTCTGCACAGGTGGTTGACTAGTTTCCATGTTCCTAATTGCCTTCCAATCAATTCATGTACCTGTGTTTTGTATACATACAACCGTCCATCCAAGATTTGTATGTCCACCTGCCCGATTTGTCTGCACAGGTGGTTGGCCAGTTTCCCTGTTCCTGTTTGCCATCAAATCTTTGCATGTACCTGGAATTTGTATACATGTGTCCAGCCAAGATTTGTGTATCCACCTGCCCGATTTGTCTGCATAGGTGGTTGGCCAGTTTCCCTTTTTCGAGTTGCCTTTATATTTTTGCATGTACATGTGCCTAGTAGATAGTTCTCCGACCAAGATTTCCTCAGCCACCTGCCCGACATGTCTACACAGGTGGTTGGCTAGTTTCCCCTTTCTCCAGTTACCTTTCAATTTTTGCTGGTAGTTGTATTCAATGTAGAGCTGTCCGACTAAGATTTCCCAACCTACCTGCCTGATTTGTCTACATAGGTGGTTGGCCAGTTTCCCTGTTCCTAGTTTCCTTCAAATCTTTGCAAGTACCTGTGTTTTGTGTACATGTGTCCAGTTAGGATTTGTCTATCCACCTGCCCGATTTGTCTGCATAGGTGGTTTGCCAGTTTCCCTTTTCCTAGTTGCCTTTAGATGTTTGCATGTACATGTACTTTGGGGAAAGTTTTCAGACCAAGATTTACTCAGTCACTTGCCCGATTTGACTGCACAGGTGGTCTGCCAAGATTTGCTCATCCACCTACTCGATTTGTTTGCACAGGTGGTTGACTAGTTTCCACGTTCCTAATTGCCTTCTAATCAATTCATGTACCTGTGTTTTGTATACAACCGTCCATCCAAGATTTGTCTATCCACCTGCCCGATTTGTCTGCACAGGTGGTTGGCCGGTTTCCCTGTTCCTGGTTGCCTTCAAATCTTTGCATGTACCTGTGTTTTGTATACAAGTGTCCAGCCAAGATTTGTGTATCCACCTGCCCGATTTGTCTGCATAGGTAGTTGGCCAGTTTCCCTTTTTCGAGGTTC